TGGTTTGGCTCAGTGGATGGCAGATCAGTCTGCGGACTGAAGGGTCCCAGATTCATTTCCAGTCAAAGACACATGACTGAGTTCTGGGCTCGATCCCCAGTGTGGGGTGTGCAGGAGGCAGCTGATCAATGATTCTCTCTCTTCATTGATGTTTCTATCTCTCTCCCTCCCCCTTCCTCTCTGAAATTTTCTTTTTGTTTTTCCAGTTGGGTGTTTTTTGCTTCTTCGTATTTCAAATCTTTGACTTGATTCTTGCGATCTTCTAGTCTGCTGTTGGAACTCTGTATAATATTCTTTATTTCAGTCAGTGTATGCTTAATTTCTAGTTGGTCCTTTTTCATAACCTCGAGGGTCTCACTAGATTTCTTGAGGGTCTCACTAAGTTTATCGGTGGTTTCTAGAGAATTCTTGAAAAACCTTAAAAGTGTGGTTTTGAACTCTATATCCACTAGTTTGCTTTCCTCCATTTCTGTCATTTGTGACCTGTTTCTTTGTCTCTGCATTTTTTATGCTTTCCTGTGTTGATAGAGTGGTTTTCTGTGCTGGGTGCCCAGTGGCTCAGCCTCCCCATTTACCTGAGGTGGACACTCTTGGTGCACCCCTTTGTGGGCTTTGTGCACAGTCTTGTTGTAGTTAAGCCTTGATTGTTGTAGGTATCATCAGGAGGAATTGACCTCCAGGCCAATTGGCTGTGAGAATCAGCTGTGTCTGCAGTGGGAGAACTTCTGTGCTGGAGACACCCTTCTGGGGCAAGACTTGCTTCAGTGGGGCTTTGGTGCTCACTGAGTCTGCCCCCTGAGTGTGCCCCTATGGATCTGAGGAGTTGTAATCTGGATGGTCCCACTCTGACCACTGTGTACACTGACTCTTGGATCTCTAAGGAGGTGCTAATTTAGCCTCTGTCTGAGGCTACCTAGCAGGAGCCCAGCTGTGAAGCAATGCAAGCTGCTGTGGGGCCTTGGGCCTTCTTTTGGAAGTTCTGGGTTTCTCCCCATCCATGTATTTTTTTTTTAAAGTCATAGGAATATAATGTATATCATTGTGACCATAGTAAATAATACTATATTGCATATTTGGAAGTTGCAAAGAAAGTAAATCTTAAAAGTTCTCATCACAAGAGAAATTATTTCTGTAACTATGTAAGGTAAGGGATGTTAACTAGACTTATTGTGGTGCTCATTTGACAATGTATACAAATAATGACTCATTATGTTGTACATTTGAAACTAATATAATGTTACATGTCAATTATACCTCAATTTAAAAGTAAAAAAGAGGAGAAGAGGAGAAAGAGTTCAGAGAAAAAAATTCCAAAGACTTGATCAATCAGACATGGGAAATAAGAGAAAATCATCAAAGGAGACTCAGATTTCTAGCTTAAGAGACTTGGTGTATATAATTCAATTTGCCATTATAGGAAACCGGGAAAAAAATAACTTTCAGTAAAAACAAACTACAAGAGGCTCAGTACTGGAAATACTGAATCTATATTTGGAAAGTTGGGTTGGGGAGGAGGGGTTATAAATGAACAGTATACATCTTGATTTGATTATTTTATTCATTGAAAAAATTAACTGAGAGTTCTCTAAAGTTGCCAGTAGACCATTAAATTATAAAAATGAATAAGAAATGGTCACTGCCCTTGAGCAACTCAATCCAGTAAGAGAAAAGGAATCTATCTGTAGGCAAAGAGTAGAGACTGGTGGAACAAGTATGTACTCAGAGGATGATGGGTTCATTACCAATCTTGGCCACACTTTAGCATCACCTGGGGGAACTTCTAAACATCCCAATACCCAGTCCACACTCTGAAAGTGGAATCCAGGCATAAGTGGTTGCTTAAACTCTCCAGGTGATGCCCACATGCAGCCAAGATTAAAAGAGCAGTATCTTGCTCAACTCAGAAGAAAACACCTGGGACACCTTTCCTCTGAAACATTTGGCAATAGTGTGGAGAAGGACAAGAGGTGGAAATAAAAGAGTTTGGTTAAAGGAGCTCTTGGCTAATAATAGCTTGATGATTTATCATTCCTTTCTAAAGAAAAAGTATCAATGGCTAAGAATAATAGTATATGAGAATAAGCTAGGCATGTTAAGGAAAGGGTCAAAGTTTTGTAGAAAGCACTGCAGAGAGTATAAAAAGAATTCGATTAGAAAGAAGTAAAAGCTTTTCTAGGTAGTTATAAAGGTTTAGTGTGAGTAGGCAATCACTCATTAGTAGGTAAGTAGCATCCATCTACAAGGTTGTGCAATTTTCCCTAACAATGCTGGGAGTTTGAGAGCAGAAACAGAGAAAACATTCATCTGGGAATGTAGATTGATGGGTCAGAAGGACAGAGGCAGCTGAGAGTGCTGGTGAGAGTTAAAAAAAAAAAAAAGGAGGTGGGGAGTGGAGGGAGAGTAATGAGGCATGAGATTACAGGCCTTGATGATGATAAGAACATACTAAGTGAGTAAAAGAGAAACAGATGTCCAATGAGAGGGAATTTCGGTCAAAAAAAATACTTTCAATTTTAAGATATCAAGATAGCAGAGTACATGGTGAGTAATAGCAACAGACTCCTAATCAGTCTTTCTACCTGTCTTTGCCCCTCTACAGTCCATTATCCACACCGCCTAAAATGTGATCTTTCTAAAGTCTAATCATCTCTCCCCACTGACAGATGAATTCAGTCAGAAGCCATTTCAAAAAAGTCTTAATTATCACCTCCCCTACCCTGCTGGTTAATACCCAATTCCTCTACAAATCACTCCAGCCCAATCTTATACAAGCTTTTCTAGTTATAGTTCTCATACTATGTTTTACTTTACAAGTCTATTTCCCACATTAGATTCTGAGTTCCTTAAAAGCTGAAACCGAGTTTTAATCACTTTAAAATTCATATTTCAATGTCTTCCTGATAAATTCAACATTTAGAAGTATCAGCTCTGGCATTTCTGGTTTGCTTGTGCTTGTGTTATTACCTTTTTTACATATATATGTGTATATATTGATTTCAGAGAGGAAGGGAGAGGGAGATAGAAACATCAATGATGAGAGAGAATCATTGATTTACTGCCTCCTGCACCATCTGCATGAGCCTGCAACCTGGGCATGTGCCCTGACCAGGAATCAAACCATGACCTCGAGGTTCAATCACTGTATGTTTCTTTGGTGATAACTCTTTAGGCAACTTGTCCATTTTTGTGAAGATTTATTTAGTTAAAACTAGGTAGATAATATAATCTACAAATACACTTAGTCACACTGTATTATGTGATCATATGCAGAAGCAAATATTACAGCTATAGAAGGCTCAACAGGAAGAAGTGAAGATTTTTTTCAAGTTAGGCTGATCTACACCTTTGAGGAAGGGGATCCAGAGTTTTTTTCTGTAACAGTGGATGTGGTGTGGTGAGCCTTCTGTAGAAATAGACATAGATTGTAGCAAATACACTTATTGTGAAGATAGACATCTACAAAGATAGTAAGTGCTTAAAAATCTAAATATGGACAATAAATGAAAAACAACATTCCTAATTATATATTTCCTTTTCTATATTTCTGGAAAAATTAAAGATATGTATAGTATTTGGGGTCTAGGAGATTCATTCTACTGGAGTTATCTTAGAAAAAAAATGGTTGTGTCTGTCACCACCACCAAGAATAACCGAACACAAACAAATCTTTATGTTACCTGCTGTTCCTTAAAATGCCTTTAGAGCTAATCTTTCAGACTTTAACAACAGCCACTGCTTCTGTTTACTGCTGTTATAGTAAAACACTGAATGAGTTATGTGAGCTCATTCCATTGCCTGCAGGGCCGCATTTTCCCAGCCCTAATGTCACAAAAGGGCACAGCCCACACAAAAAACACACACTGTTTTCTTGAAATACTAAGGTCTCCCTCTCTCTCCTTGCTTGCACCTGTCTTAACTTAGTTCAAACATAGGCTATATCACAAAGACTGCTTAAGAAATTAATCAGAATCATGGTGTGTGTGTGTGTGTGTGTGTGTGTGTGTGTTAACAGATTTCACATCATATTCTCATTTGTTATCAAAATTCGCCGCGTTGAATCTTTAAGGATTATTCTATCTCACTCACCATTTTCTACTTCTTTGTGACCTCCACTTGGCACTCTGTGTCCTGGGCATCATACTTCGCACACAGTGGCACCTAGGGTTGACCCTGTAAGGCAGTCACAAAGTCCTTGCGGCAGCAAATAGTTACAGAGCTTCTGCTGGGGGTGAAGTCCCCTAAGGTGGTCAAGTTAAAGAACCGAAAGCATCCTGAAGGCAAGGACAGTGTTTTGAAGCACGGTATCCCCAGCATCCGATTCAGCTCTGGTACACGGTAGACATTCGATAATGCTGAATGAATGAAAACCGGCTCGGCGGGACCCTAACTCAACCCTCTTGTGCCACTTCCGAGACCTGCGGGCGCGGGTACAAGACGACAGGGAGCTGCTGGTTCTAATGACACAGCTACCGCAATTCTATGTTCCAACATCCATATTTTTCCTCCAAATAAAAAGAGGGGCCGGAGTCGTCTGCTCTTGGTTCTCTGGGACTAACCACAACAGCGCAGCGCTGCTGCGACTCCGCGGCGCGCTCCTCCCAGCGACGCGGACCTTCCCACGGGCGGAGCGAGCCAAGTTCCCGGCGCGCCCCGCGGCAACGCCGCGACGGTCCTGAAGGGGTCGCTGTTCCCGCGATCACCTCGCCACAAAGGCTCCGCCCCGCGGCGCCGCCCGCTTCCTCCGCTGGGAGCCTGACCCGGAGGCCAGAACGCCGACCCGTTTCCGGCTCGCCCACCGCGGCCAGCGCCGACGTTAGCGGCCGCGCTCCGGAAGGGACAGGCCCGGCGTCCCGGCTGCGGCGCCCGGACGCGGGGGCCGCTGGGAGGCGCTCGTCCTCTCCCCTCGCCCCACCCTCACCCCTCACCCCCGCCCCTTGACGGAAACGACAGCTGCGGCCGCGGGGCTGGCGCCGCCTCCCTCCGCTCCCCACGTCTGCCCGCGCCACTCCCGCCCGGCGCCCCAGCACGGCCGCGGCGCCTCCGCCTCCCCGCTAGGTCAGCCGGCAGCTCCGCCCGGCTGCGGCGAGGATGAACATGATGGACTTCAACGTCAAGAAGTTCGCGGCCGACGCGGGCACTTTCCTCAGCCGTGCGGTGCAGGTAGGCGGTGGGGGAAGGGGTGGCGTCTCCCGGAGGACCGGGTGGGGGGGATGCGGGAGCGTCCAGCCCGATCGCCGGGGCCCTCGCTCCCGGCTCGCCGACCACAGGGCTGTCTGCGGCGGCCGGAGGCCGAGAGATGGGCGCGCCTGCGCCCTGCGGGCCTGGGCGTCGTTCCGCGCTCTCTCTGCCAGCCGCCGCTCGGGGTGAGGGAGCGGGGGAGA